GGGAAGAAGAAGGAAGGGGGGGAGGTTCAGAGTGATGGGGTTTGTCTTCCCAAGTCACCGTTAGGCGTGATGGAGCCCTGCTGTCCTGGGGATGGCTGAGCCCCTGCTTGCCCATGGGAAGTGGTGAATGAATTCCTTGCTTTGCTTTGCTTGCATGTGCGGCTTTTGCTTTCCCTATTAAACTGTCTTTGTCTCAACCCTTGAGTTTTCTTACTTTTACTCCTCTGATTCTCTCCCCTGTCCCATGGTGGGGGGAGTGAGCAAGCAGCTGTGTGAGGCTGAGCTGCCAGTCGGGGTTAAACCACAACACTGGTGAAGCCAGCATGAATAATTCAGGCTCGAACTCGAGTGCCTTATCCACTGGGGAGCTGGCAAGTGATGCTTTGGGTTGCTTATAGAGGAGATGGTGGCCCCTATGGCGGGGCCATATAGCTATAGGCTGCACCGCGTGCCCTGCCTGCCGCTTCGTGCCAGGGGTGAGGCACCACTCCTTACCTTGAATTAAACTGGGCTCTTCCCACCCTGGGCAAGCTTGCTGCCTAAAATACTTGCCTCACCTCCCTAAATTTAAGCCAAGTGGGGGTCTACCGCTCCGCCTAGCCTTAGAAGATCATTAAACAGGAAGATTGATCCAAAAAAAAAGTAATTTATTTTTGTGCATCAAGGGGAAAAAAAAATGCAAAATGATACAGGAGGAGGCAGCGGTGAACAAATCCACCGTAAAGAAGAGGTATAAAAAATTCCATGTGAAGCTCAGCCTGATGAGAGATGAGCTGCTAAGAAGTACGTGTGTTACAGAAAATAGCACTGCTCTCCGGAGGGGAAAGAAAAAAGCCATCAGGGTGTTTGAATCTGTCTTTTTTCCAGCATAAAATAAGTTTCATGGTTTAAAAATCGCATAATTGCCCGCCCAGCTGTAAATACACCACCGCAACCCTGTTCCAGGAATTAGCGGAAGATACCAGAGCTGGGGATATCGAAGGCTTTTGTCATTTTGGTGGCCAAATTTAAAAAAAATTGTTCTTGGTGGACTTGGGCAGGTGGGCTTTTCAAGCCCCAAATATTGTGATTTGTAACAAAAAGCTATCATCTATCATCTTCTAATAATATTAATTATTAGGGTTTTGTATTGATCTCATTCCTCCGCTCTCGGTGGATTTGCACTGGGACATCCAGAGACCTGAAGGTTAAGGCACTTCCCCCCCCATCCCCCCCATAAAAGGGTTTCCTTGAGAAAGGAAAACACCTGAATTCATGGAAATTGCAAAATAGGAGGGTGCTTGGCGATGGCCGAGCACCATTTGGCAGCTTGTCCGACAAGGGCAAGGAGCGCGTGCTCTCCCATTAGCCGGGTGAGGGCTCCTAGGCATTGCAACACGGGGAATAAAATAAGGGAATAAGTCTGAATTACCAGTTTAGCACCCCAGCAGGGTTTTTTTTTTAGGACTGGGAAAACTGGACGGCAGTGTCCATGTTTAATATCATGGTGTTTGCACCTTGCTGAGACATTTGAATATGAAAACATACAATTTAATATTATTTGATGATGTTTCTGGTTTGATAAAAGCCTGGAGACTGGCGGGAGCAGGGTTTGCTCCGGGCTGCCCATCCCACCACGGCTTTCGCCCCCTCTGCTGCTCCAAATTCCCCGGCAGCCGCCGGCAGGATGGGTGCTCACCTCGGCCCTCTCTTTTTTTTTTGCAGAGGTGCCGGTGGAGAAGCTGGCCACCATGGCATCGCTGCAGAGCCTCAACCTGCGGGCGAACCCCGTCGGCCCCGAGGTGCGGCTGCTCGTCCGGCCCCTCGTCCCCTTCGACCTGCTGCTGTCACCGGAGGAGCCCGTCCCCAAAGCCTGAGAGGGTCTTGGGGTGCCCGGGCGAGCTCTCCCGAGGGGCGACGGCCTGGAGGAGTGCTTTGGCTTAGGTCAGTCACCGTTTCTGTCCCACACCTGCAGCGAGGCAGCCAGGTCCCTCTTTTTCTTTTTTTTTCCTTAATAAAAAGCAAGCAGCGGGGCTCCCCCGCGAAGGGATGGCTCTGCCCGCTCCCA